CTCTGAAGACTAATTCCCCCTGCTCTGGTGCTACTAGGTTAGGACTCAAGAGTTTTTCATGATTGTTAGGCAGGCACTCTATTGCTTGAGATGAGCCTCCAGTCCTTCATGCTCTTGTTATTTATTGATTGATTGATTGATTGACTGACTGATTGCTGTATTGGGGTTGCACTTAGGGCCTGTACCTTGAGCCCCTCCACCGGCCCTTTCTTGGAAGGCTTTTTTTCGAGATAGGATCTTGTGGAACTGTTTGCCCAGGCTGGCTTCAAACCACAATCTTCCTGATCACTGCCTCCTGAGTAGCTAGGATTACAGAAGTGAGCCACCAGCTCCTGGCTGCTCTGGTTATTTTGTAGATAGTTTTGCCTTTTGTCCAGACTGGCCTGGACCTTGATCCACTTGTTTATGCTTCCTGCTGTAGCTGGGATGACACTTGTATACCACAACAGCTAGCTTTTTCTGTTAAGATGGGGTCTTGCAAACTTTTTTGCTCAGAATGGCCTTGAACCATGATTCTTTTAATTTCAGCCTCCCAGTAGCTAGGATTACAGGTGTAAGCCTCTGGTGCCTACTAAAGACTAATTTTCAAGGGAGAGAAACTTGTTTTTTTTTTTTTTTCCCTTCCAGGCTTGAGCATAATATGTGCTAGGCTTGCTGTTACAGGCAGGAGATGAGGTGTGAGACCCTTGGAGCATGGAGACCTCTGAATACAGGGCAGAAGAGGTAGGGAGAGAGGGAGAGAAAGAGATTGACTGATTGAGAGAGTGACTGATTAGTCATTTAGTCATGTCCTGGAGACACTGGGTGGGCTATTCCATGAAGCCACATTTAACCAGCTCTCCCTCAACTCAGTCATTCAACCCAAATATTCCCTTTTCATTTAAATCACTTGGATTTTCTGTCACTTGCAACCTGGAATTTTAAGAACTGTATCCAAGAGATGTGAACCTAAGAGTGTACATATTTGTTCTTATTTTGTTACTATTTCATCTACTTGGAAATAAAGTAATAGACATGTCATGGGACAGCATGAACGGAGAAAGAGCACTTGGGTTTCTGACTAGGTGATATAATATAGGGTAAAGTATCCTATGTATTTCCCAGATCCACAAAGGCTACATGGGCCTCTTATCTTGACAGGGGTAAAAAAACAAGTTATCCTTGAATCAGTTTTTCCTTTACAGTTGGAATATTAATGGATGGAGAAAATGATCTAGCAAACTGTTTAATAGCTTGGTTGGCCTGTGTGTTGGTTGAGGATTCTTGCATTAGTGACAGCCATCAGCAGATTGAGGCCACCATTCTTTGTATGGAAGAAGCAAGTTATTCAGAGGAAGGGAAATGCCAAAGTATCTCTAGTGCCCTCTTCCTATCTGTTTCTGAATTCACACGTTTTTGAGCTCCATTTACCTTCATTTTGCCCTCAAATACATCCAAGGTTTACCACCTTTTGTGTCTAGTTAGTGAAGGGCATGATACCATACTAGGAGTACATTAAGGTGGAAATCATTGAGGGAAATAATTTTATTTCATTTGAAAGAAAGAAGGATGCTTTGTTTTTGAGTCATTTCAAGTCTGGGGGACTGATGTGACGTTGCCACTTCAGGTCTTTGTCCTGATAATAGATTGAATTTTGATGAAACTCCATCTCAATGAGAATGTTCAGTGGGGACAGAGGGAACACTTCTAAGACACTGCATCCAATATCCTAGAAAATGAGTCCTGTAGCCCTTTGAAGACCAATGTCCTATTTTGTCTTAATTCCCCAAATTCTTCCAGAACTGTTGACTGACACCCCCTCTATCCTCCCTCAGCTGGTTTTTTTCCCTACCATCTTAGAACGGGTGACTTTCAGAGAGTGCTATTTGAATGACTAATAACTAACGTTTATCTGTATGTATCCATATTACCAATCAAGATGCTTAATATTAAAATATTGATCAAAAGTGGTCAATGTCACATTTTTAATTGGTTTTCAAAATCAGAACCTTCTATTTTACCCTTTGCTTTGAAGTCTGGGGGAGCAAGACTTCAAATTTCCTAAGAAAATGCTAAACATATCAAAGAAATTCAGACAAGTCTATCTATGTAAACAGGCAGACATTGACACTCAGCTACAACCTGGACTTATTCAGGAAGGATATAGAGACAAACCTTCACTTTAGAAAAACAGGAGGAAAACCTGGATTTACAGGTATCACAGAAGCCAAGGAAAGAGTTTTGAGGAAGACGAAGTGATCAAAAGTGTTAAATATTGCTAAAATATCAAGCATAAAGAGGACTGAACTTGTATTGTGGATATAGAGATGCAGAGCTTATTAGTGGCCTGTTTTAGGATAGTCAGGGACTAAAATTCAAACTGCTGGGTTAAGAAGTGAGAGAGAAGTGAGGAAATTGACATGCTGGTATGGATGGATGCTTTAGCTGTGAAGAAATGATAGCACAGTAGCTTAAGGAACACAGGTGTGAGGACTAAGAAATACTCATGTTAGCAGGGAGGTATTTGGGCAGGTTTAAAGCTGATGAGAAGGATTCTGCTGGAAGGGAGAGACTGACTAAGACAGCCTGTAACATGATACATGATGTTAAGTTCCCAAGACACACAGTGACCCCAAACCCAGGAGTCATCTTAGAATAGTCCAGAGATACAAACTGCACATGGGAAAAACTCCATTTCCATATGACTTCTAAATTTAGGAAACTTCAGGTTTGCCAGCCTGACCTGGAGTTTGAAACGAAGAAGAGGACTCAGCTACCATTCTTTCCATCTTTAACTTTGTGGAATTAAGAGTCATGTTAATTAGTACAGCAAGCCTTAGAAAATAAAATTTAAAAAAGGATCAGAGTTTCAGGCAGTGAGGCTATGGGAAATTAAAATTTGAAAGTAGACATGACCAATAAATTCACTGTAGGGAATTCTACTTTACCATTGCCTGAGAGAGGTGGTATGGTGGGCAGCTAGATTTTATCTCAAGTTGAACTTCCAAATATTGAAAATCATCACCAAAGAAACTAATGTAGAACAAATATCCCTAGGGAAGAAGGCTCGGAGCCACAAATCTTGGGGTACCTTAGAAAGGCCAGAACTAAAAAAACCAATAACCCTTCTGACTCTTCAGTTATACACCAGTCCCTCTCTGTTCATTTTGAGGACTCAGCACCAAGATTTCTAAGACATCTAAGACATGAATCAGTGGGCAATGCTTTTGGGACAGGGCAATACTCATGACTGTCTATTCTTGCATTTGTATTGATAACTTAACCTAGTCAGACTCACTTGAGCCGGGCTGACCTTGCTGACTTGCCTGTATTAGCCACCAACAATTTGTCAGAGAGGAGGGTATTAGGAAAACTGGAAGCAGATTGTGTTGTGATTTATTGGGCAGTACAGGCAATGAGTTTGTCAGGAGGAACTGTAAATAGATGCTGTGGGTAGCTGAATATGGTTGAGGTCTTTAAAAATTGGCACTCGTGTTACATTTGGAGATTCTCCAGTAAAACATCAGAGATTTAATAAATTATTACAGTTTTGTGTTTTTGTTTTCTATGACATCTTTCCCCTTTCTGCCTCATTAACATTTGTTTCCCAGTTATGTTATTATCACTGTCGTGAATTTTGGAAGATACAAGGAAAGCCCCAAATTAGTATCATCCATGTAGGAGTGATCTTCTAGTCCTTTTGTTAGATAGAAAACCCCAAAGTAAACCCCTTTTTAGGTTTGCAAAACTTCCCCATTGGTGGGATAGGACTGGTTCTAAGAGATGTGAACTTGTATCCTGCACTTCACACGCATTTTTTGATCTTTCACATCAACTTGAGAGGAAAGAGAATATACAAAAGCAGTACCACACACAGGTACCTGACCGTTTGTCCCCAATCAAGTCTTTGTTCTTATTATACTCCATTACCAGATAAAGGAGCAAAGTGGAAGGGTGGAGAGGAGACCAATGCTAGTGAGACCAGCATCCCCTGTGTAGTGGTCTGCCTTGACATGGCTACAGCCATCTTGGTCATAACTTTCATCTTTTACAGCAGGTAGTCCTGGCACACATCCTAAACCAAACAGGACAAGCAAAGTCAAGTTAGGTACCAAGCATTTCATGCTGGCCATTGAGGTCCAGGCTATTTCTTAACTGATGTTTTCTGTTCTTGACAAAGCCTGAGTGAATTCTGGTTGGCTATAGACCACTTTTGTCCAGCTTAGCATACATAAACCCTTTCCTCCTGTCTTTGGATGCAAAGATACTCCTAACTTGGTGCCCCCAAGGCTCACTTTTGTCTGGAAGTCCCTAATAAATTGCACTTTGTGCAATCCTACTTGCCTCTTTATTTAAAGACCTTTTATCTTTAGTGGCCAGACCTCATACATGGGGACCAGGTTTTCCTAAACATTCTGGATTATTTTATATTTTGTCATATTAATTTTTAGACCTTACCTGTGAGGTCTATAGTTAAGTAGGATTCTCCTTGAGAGAAAAATAGTCTTATTAGTATCTTTGGGCTACTTTCCCAATTCTTAACATTACTTATACGCTGCTATGTATTCCTCCAATGGAAGCCATGAATGGAAAGGTTGATCTCTCAAGACTTTCTATGAATTTCTTTGATGTTACTCCTGGGAACTTCTGAAATGGGTGGAGAGATTCCCTGAAGCCACACTGTTTACTTAGTTAAGTCACACACTCTTTTTTGTTTTTTCTCATCTCAAATTATACTGTATTATGTCATTCTTCCATGCTGCTGGCCTATGAAAGGCCCCAGGTAACAGCACTGTCTGATGGGAAAATAGGCCTTTCTTCCCAAGGACATTTGGTTCATCCCCAATTTTCTCTTTTGGTGGTACTAGGAGTTGAACTCAGGGCCTCCTACTTGCTTGGCAAGTGCTCTACCACTTGAGCCACATCCCTGGTACTTTGGCTTTTAGTTTGTTTCTCAGATAGGGTCTCGCACTTTTGCCTGGGCTGGCCTTGACCTGTGATCCTCCTGTCTTTGTCTCTAGGTCGTCAACAACATCTTGAGACCCAATGTGGAAGGGTAGACTTTGAGATTATTATCAAAGTCCTGGTAAATCAGCATCTGTTTGTCTAAAGTTAGTCAATGGTTAGTCAATGAGGTTTTTTTTTTAAAAAACAGCAGCAGTTTTAACGTAAGCAGAAATTTTTCTTAACCTCTGCTTGTGTTAAACTTCCCCTGAGCCCTGTGCTCCTGGCAAACAGTTATAATTAAGAAATCCTCACACCCTTTTGTGTTCTGGGAAACAGCTTACTACAAAGAATCACTATCCTCATATGCTATGCATAAGACTTCTCCCACCAAACTATCCATTCCACCATCAAAAGATCCATGGCAATTCATGGAGGTACACATTTTATCCAGTGAGACCAAATTCTTTTTTGAGAACTGTATAGACTACAAGTGTGGCCTGTCCCATGGAGGTGACATTTTCGTTTCAGAGAGCTTGAGTTGGGAAGAAGTCACATGCCACACCTATAGCAAGGAACAGCCTTTGATCTGGCTAGCTTTACTGGATATTGTACAATGTTTAATTGTCAGATTATGCTTTCTATAAATGCAAATGTGTCGTGGCATCACAGACTTATTCATCCAAGCAATGACATTTATCCTAACTCCTATTAGTTATTGTAGTGACAGCAAAACAAACATATGGCATAGCCCCAACATAAGGAATTATCAATCTTGCCATTGAGCAGAATCCTACCATATAAGGGAAGCTTCTTTCCAAGCTTTTTAAATGTGAAATGTAATAAGATATTTAAAGAGCATTGCACTAACATGGAGAGGAAAATATAAATGTGTGCACATTAAATTGCAGATCTCACAATTTTGATGTTAAGGAAACAGTAATTACTATAAGTTCAAAATGATACTTGCTGACTAGGAATGGTCCTGGTGAAATAATGAACCTGTAGAAATAATAGTAAAGAGCTAGTCAGCCTTGTAAAGCACTGAGGCACATGTGTTTCTCTCTCTCTCTCTCTCCCCCTTCCCTCCTTCCTTCTTTCCCTTTCTGCTTTCTTCTCCCTTTGATAAGAAACATAATTTTTACTTTGACCTTAGAATAAAGATAACCAAGTCCTTTTTTTCAGCAATGGGCAAAAAAAGCACACCGTGGGTGTGGTTTCTTCTTTTAATAAGAACCTTTGAAGGAAACTGACAAAATCATTGGTTTGCAAGGCTGGCAACAGATCACTCCCTCTAACAACACAAAGAAAGGAAAAGCAAGGTGCTCCCCAAGGATTAAATAAGGTAAAATCTACTTACAATGGCTGGCCATTAACCATCTGGGGTGGAAAAGGTTCAGATTTTCAACCAACACATGGTTGAAGAGTTTGACAACACACAAAACTCCAATCAAGGTGATAGGGAGTGAGCTCATGGAGAAGAATGGGATGAAGTTTGCATTCAGCTATAAAGGGCTCATCAGCTGTGTCCCCAAGGGAGGAACGCCTCATAGAAGGCAGTGTCAGCCCAGAGATGGGTTTCTCACACTGCAATGAGATGATGAGATGACCACCTACCTGAGTCTCCTGGGGAGCCTGCAAATGCAGTTCTGGGGCTTCACCACACTAGCACTGAAAACACGTGGAGTGGGCTCAAAGAATCTGCTTTTCGCCGTGTGCTGGTGGCTCACGCCTGTAATACTAGCTACTCAGGAGGCAGAGATCAGGTAGATTGTGGTTCAAAGTTAACCCGGACAAATAGTTCAAAAGACCCTATCTTTTTTATTATTATTATTCATTTATTCACATGCGCATACATTGTTTGGGTCATTTCTCTTCCCTGCCCCCCCGCCCCCACTCTTTCCCCCACAAGGAGACCCTATCTTGAAAAAAATCCATCACATAAAAGGGCTGGTGGAGCAGCTCAAGGTGTAGGCCCTGAGTTCAAACCCCAGTTCTACTAAAAGAATTAAAGAATCTGCTTTTTGTTTATAATCAACTGAACCTTCTTTTTTTTTTATAGTTTCTCTTTAATTTTCTGAAAGTGAAAATAATATGCTGTATTATCACCAGGAATGTAAATACATTAAAAGAAAAGTCACTCTTACCTGAGTGCTCTTTTCTTCTACCCTGAAGTAATGGTACTAGCCACTTGGTGGATAGCTCTTCATCTCACTTTCTGCACTTGTACAAATGTTCATAAATGGAGTTATTGCTGGAGTCCTAAGCTAAAGAAAGCCTCACTTCAGGAAGTTTCAACATACCAGGTCCAGCCACTCACCCCCAAAAGCAAGCAGGAAAAGCAATGGTGCAAAGCATGAAAGGAATTGTATTCAATATATGTACACTGGGAAGATAAAGGGGAACAAGCATCTTCAGCCCTGTCTTCGTGGGTCCTGATGAAACCAGAGTTTTGGACCCAAGGCCCAAAATCTTGAGATTCCATATGCCAGGTCTGGCCCTGCATCCCTAAATGCCAAATAAAGAGGCATGGGGAAGGCAGAAAAAGGAGGCTTATGACATGACGTGGGACATGCTGTGGGAAGAGGCAGAGTAAGCACTCAGCTCATCCTCAGCCATCTTCAGGATACAGACATGAGTTACAGGTTTAAGTAGACAAAAGAACTGGGGGCAGGAGACAAAGATTTGCATAAACAGTCCCAGTCTCAGGTGTGTTCTAGTTGACCTATTATCAGTCCAAGTGTTCCCAGAGGGGTTCTGGAGAAGATGTTATTGCCGAGGTATCTGGTTCCCATAAGATGAGTGCTCCTACTTCAGGGTGCAGCCTCATCGTTGTAGGTAATTGTCCTCATTTGGTGGTGGTGGTGGAGGGGACTGTCTGTCCTACAAGTCTCCACTGTTTCTTATGGGAAGCTTCAGTCCCTTGTCATAAGATGTTATCAGTTCTGTCCTTTCTGGAATCCAAGGTGATTGCAAGGTGACTGCAAAGAGAATGGCTTAGAGCAAAGGTAGATACAAAACGGAAGCATGGATAACAACTTTCTCCTGTTTTCAGTTAATTTATGTACCCAAGTAAGGAGTCAGTGCTTTTCAGCAAAAACAATTTGAGTACCTCTTACACTGAATATGAGCTTTGGGGTTAAATAGGGGAAGAACTGCACTGGGGGAAGAGATACACATAGGTTAGCAGTCTTAGTCAACCTGCTGTCTGATTGATCATTATGTCATGTGTGGTTCTACATGTTATCTCCTGAGGGGGCAATTCAGTTTCCATCATTAGATAATTACTTCAGCTTCAGTTTTCTTCATAGGGTGATTGTTCCCACTTGAGGGGGGCAGTCCCAGTATGGGGTGATCTATCTGCAAGGTTCACTGGTCCCAGAATCCAAGTGACTATGGGAGAGAATTAATCAGAGAAAGGCAGGATGGAGTTAGTTCCTTCAGGTTTGGGCAGTGACTGAACATTTCTAGGTACTGTGTCAATGTTCTAGAATGGCATGTTGTAAAAGCCAGTGATTACCTTAGTTACTCTGATTTTTGTGTCTTCAGCCTTGAAGTAGATGATTATTTCATTGCCATTACAAATAGAGTCTTTACTTTGGAGGCATAAGTTAGTAAAGATGGTATTTTAGGTTAAAGAAATGACTTAAGTTTTTAAATATTATAATATTACCTTCCTAAAAGCTTGAGGCAAATTACAGTCAGTTATCATCATTCTGCTTAGTTCTATCTTACAAAATCATCTTGAACATTAAAGTATCAAATACTGTATCATTTAATGATCTGCTCCAAAAGAGATCCAGGGGTAGGTCCCTGTAAGTTTCTGGTCACAGCATTTTCTTCAAACATCAATATAACATCTTGTTTTATGAGGGTTTCTGCTTAAAGACAGTTATTATACATGTAAATTCACTAATATTGAACTCCTGGTCAACAGTAATATGCTTCATACCTGACCAAAGCTTATCTAATGCACCTGTTTTATCCATAGGTACCATACAGACTTCTTGTGCTTTGGGACACTCAGCATTTCAGCCACAGGCTTGGGGTCCATTTGCAAACAGTGAAACACCAGCAAAAAGAAAAAGGCGGGTGTCAGCAGCTCATGTCTATAATCCTAGCTACTTGGGAGGCTGCGATTGGGAAGGCCATGGTTCAAGGCCAACCCAGGCAAAAACTTTGTGAGACCTCCATCTTAACCAATAGGTAGGCCTGGTGGTATGTACCTGTCATATCAAACTATGTGGGAAGCTGCCATCCAGAGGACTGTAGCTCCAGGCCAGCCTGGGCGGAGACCCCATCTCAATGAAAAACAAAAAAAAAAGCTGGATGTGATGGTGCATGCCTGTCATCCCAGCAATGGCAGGAAGCATAAAATAGGAGGATCACCATCCAGGCAATTCTCCTGGGCAAAAAGTGAAACTTTATCTTCAAAATAACCAGAGCAAAAAGGACTAGGGTGTGGTTCAAGCTGTAGAGCACCTACCTAGCAAGTGTAAAGCCCTGAGTTCAAACCCCCAGTACCACCCCAAAAAAAGATCCCAAATGATCACAAAACTACTTCAAGAGTTGATTTTGGGTTTGCCAGTACATTTGTGGGAGTAGGAAAATTTATAAATATAGAACCCACAGATAATAAGGATTGCCTGCTTTTTTCCACCAGCAAGGTATGTCACTCTCATGTGCTTAATCACTAAAGGTTATCAGTTTTTAAATATTTGTGAATAATATTTCCTTTTCTGCCAACTCTTAGTGAGGTCAGTCATATTTTCTCGCACTTATCGTACATTAAATGCAGTCTTTGCTCGTGGAACTGTTCCTATTAAGTAGCTTTTTTTCTCCGCAGTTGTAGAAATTTTGCATTTTATGAATGTCAACCTTTTGTCATATGTTCTGTAAGTATTATCCCATTTAATTACTTGTTCGTTTTATGATTTGGATATCTGCCATATATTTTAAACAATCAAATGTCTGTCTCCCTTTTGTGATTTAAGGTCTCCCATCTTGTTTAACCTTCAAGATTGCATACATTTCCATTTTTATTGTTCATGTACATTTAAATCTTCACTCCATCTGGAATGATTTTTTATATAGTATTAGGCAGGCTCTATGTGTCTTCTTCCAGCTGAACAAGCCCCAGTTGTTCCGATGCTAATTAAAGTTTGAGGACAAGCACCCCATGGGACAGAATGAAAATCCAATAAGCCACAAGAAGGCAGTGCTCTTTTAAGTACTTTGCAGGGAAAAGAATGCTCCAGCTCCAAGGTATGACCTGTATGTCAGCATGATAGATATATCTCCTAAATCAATTGGGACTATGAGTTGCAAACATTAGACACCCAAATTCAAGTGGCATACATAATAATGTATTTCCTCATTCACCTTACTAAAAACTAGGGACATCCAAGGTAGAATGGGTTTTTTGGTTACTTAGATCCAGCAGCTCAACGATATCTCAAGAATTCAGTTTCTACTTGTGCTCAGCCTTCCTATCAGCCTTAACCCAAAGATGGCTTTCTTCCTGCTTACCAGGTGTTTGCCAAGAGCAACAAGGCTGTACTCTTCCTCATTCATGTACAGTGACTGTGGTGGATATTTCTACAGTGTTTTGGTTCTTTTGTGGTGGTTGTAAAGAACTTTCTGGGATCTAGAACCAAGGGAGGTTGGTGTCACGTAATGGATATCGATATCCGCCTGTGATATAACTGAGGGTTGTTGTTTTTGTTTGTTTAGTTTCTATCTGGTTGTTGGTGGATCTGTAACATCCACGGCTGGTTCCCAGGACCCCCCACCCCGAGATTCTCTGAGGTACCTACTATTCTTTACTCATCCCTTTCTGCTGAGCCTGCTTGAAATAGATTGTGTTTCTTACATAACATTTCCTTGATATAAGAGATTATCAAGGAAATGGTTCTTTAAGTGAAAGCTGGGGTATTGGAAGGAAAAGAATGGGAATCTGAGAATTGGCATGGAGACATTGGGAGGATTCGAGGGACCCATACACCCAAGGTTCCACACCTCACTAAATCTTCCTTGTCAACATAAGCAGCCCTTCTCCTGTGAAGGACATACAACTATCTGAAGATCCTTTAAAGACTTTGCCTCACTCCTTGGAGGATGTTAATTCCTTACCATTCACTCCTATGACTCCTTCATTGCTTCTATCCAAATATTGGAAGTTAGATCCCAGTATGTCCCAGAGAGCTAATCATAAAGCCATACCTTGGAAAAGTATTTCTTCTGCTCCTAGTATTATAATACTTTACACGCCAAAACTCACAATTTGTATCTTACTCTTCTTCCTAACAGGAACATCTGTTTTTGCAGTGACCAACTAAAATATTGCATTTCCCAAACTCCCTAGCATATAGGGGTGGCCATGTGACATATTCAATGAAGCATAACTGTAAGTCTGCCGGTTATTTCTAAAACAAAAAATGTTTTGGAATTCTAAGTGTTGTTCTTCTTTCCTGTATTTTCCTCTTTCTTACTGTGTAGATGCAGTCATTGTCTCTGGAACTACAGAGGTCATCTCATACTCATGAGGGAACAGCCAGGAAAACTACTAGGTCCTTAGATCTGACATTTTTAACTCCTGCACAAATGACAGCATTCACTTACTACTTTACTCCTTGTTATTTAATGGAAAGGAAAAAGGATCCTAATTTATTTAAACTATTGTTCAGTTTAAATTTACTCTTCCATTTGGCTAAACATAATCATGAACAGGTAATAAGATGAAAAAGTAGCACCAATGTAGAAAGCATCTATTTTCCCTAGAAAAAGTAAAAATTCCTGAGCTTCTCTGGTTGGGCCAATTTAGATCCTGTAACACCCTCTATCCAATCAGCTTGACCAGAGCAATGCTGTATGCTGATTGGCATAAGCCAGTAGGGTCCTCCTTGGGATAGGGGTCAATTCTGTTAAACCTATTTGATCTGCATCTCTTTGGGGATGACATGCTGAGAGGAAACAGAAAATATTTGGGTAGGAAGTAAGCAAATAACAAGTCCATTTTATCCCTATTGTAGATTTTGCCATCAAAATTTATTACTAATTAGGCTATTCTACTTTCATGATCACTGAGCAATTTGCTGGTTAGATTCAATTTCCCATAAAATTTATGACAGTGATAGGAACTCATCTACTAATAGGAGTCCTGTCGTCAGATTGCCAGTTAAGGGATTTATATATAAGATTTCATGAATTAGTATCTACAAGTTTAAGTACTATGAATCCTTTATCCTTACCTCCAGGTCATGGATCTGTTCTGCTTATAACAAACCAGGTCTGTGAGTCTGTGAGGATGAGGCCCAGGGGCCAGGCCAGGGAACTCTCTAGGTAAATGGCACCTTCTGAGTCATCCTAGTCTTTTAGAAATCTCCCTCTGTGGTACTTCTTAACATCTACTTGAATCCTTGATACAGCCACAGATGACATGAGTGTTACATTTTCATTATGTAAGATTTCAGCAGTGACATTTGCTCTGCCCAGGAGTATCCAAGATAGAATTCAGAGTGGAATAAAGCCAGTTCCTGTCCTCATAAAGTCAGCCTGATGCCCAAACCCTCACCACTGTAAGTCAGGATTAATTTGACAAGCTGCAATTCAGGTGAAGGGTGCTGTGATGGACATAACTGGAATGATACCAATCACAGGAAAATAGAGTGACTTTGCAAAAGCAAAAAGTCAGATTCAGTTTGTAAACTTTATGACACCTAGTATCTTTGCAGAACATCTGGGATACAGCTAAGTCATTAATATTTATTGATTACTTCTGACTGATGGAGATCTTATCCATGATAATCAGTAGGATGAAAGTTCTGCTCTGGAAGATAGAAGCTTTAAGAGCTTACTTTGTTTAGTATGGGGATAGCCATGAACAAGTCATCTCAATTAAATGATCTTCAGTTTCAAAACTTAGTTCTCATTATGGTTAAATACGTCCTGAACAGTTTCATTAATTTACTTTAAAAGGCCCTTTCTTTGTATCATAAAGTTCAACTTTATTGTGGTTCCTGAACAAATTAGAATAAATTTTGTGTTTGTAGAACCCAAATGAATGAGGATTAACTGCATGCTCATTAAAACTCTTTAAAATTCTGTTAAGACTCCTCCTTCAAGAATTCAGTTGATGAAATTTTCTCATTAGACTTCACAATGAGGTTGGAAAACAAAAGCTCACACTCTCAGCCCTACAAAGAAAACCTCTGAGCTACTCTTGCCAGTTTTTATTGCGTAAGACACTGAGGAAACAGCCTAATGAACTTGGCCTTGACATTGTCTTGTAGGTAACTTGTCTTTTAAAGAGATTCTTGTAATGATTTCAAACTAAACTATAATGCAGCATTGAAGTTCAATTAGCAGATTCATTAGCTGGGTCTTGATCACACCTCTGATCATCATCACTAATGGATGGTATTAAAGTTTTCATTCATTACCGTCATTAGTCCCTGTCAGTGATAAGGTTGCACAGAAATCTATTTGTGCTCAACTTCTAACCAGCATGTTAAATGGTGTCTCTATTTTAAGCACATATTGGTGGTTGGGGGATGCGACCCATTTAAAAGCCATTCATGAGGATGTAATTTGGGAAGTTTGACTGAAATGGCCAAGCCAGGGTGACACCACCTACTCTAATAAAAGACCAGATCCTTTTAGACAGCTAGATGAGTCTCAGTCCAGGGACAACAAGGGAAGTGGTTTACTCCAAAAGAAAACAGCAATTGCTTCAACTCATGGCAGGGAGGGTTGCAATGAAAAGAAAGATACCATTGAGGTGGTTTTTACCCCACAATGGTGGAAAGATCACCTGCATCAGAACCATCCCAGAAGCTAAGAAAGCCCTTAGACTTCTGGGGATGGTGCCCAGATATTGCCTGACAAGCACGTAGTATTCCTCCTAAGCTAACTCAAGTTTGAGAACCACCACTCAAGATACCTTCAAGAGGGGCAAAGAGGCAAAGTAGGGGCCAGGGGAAGACATCACAGCATTTGATGACAAAGTACTGAGAAATCATTCAGCTTGTATTTATTGTTAGGATTTTTGCCCTCAATAGCTGAAACAAGTTATAGGGGGAAGGGAGATCAAATTTGCAACAAGAGAAAAAACTTTTTTTTTTTTTTTGCATTTAAGTGGTTTGGGTTTTCTTCCTTTGTGTGGCCCTATTTAATTATGTGTATCTGAGTTGGCTATATAAAATAATCCTTGAACTTTGTACTATACATCTAAGAATCATGGATATGCTCCATTTTATTTCTGTTCTGAAAAGTTGTACATCAGTAATTCAAAATTTTTCTAGGCTACTTCATGCTTTGAGAAGCTGTTGAAAGGCCTAGAACCTGTTTTTTACAAATGCATGTACATCAGTACATAAAATCTTGTTTTATGTTAAAATCAGTACATAAAATTTAGTTTCTGGGAATTCATAAATCCGTAATCTGTGGACTCCAAGTTAAGAACCTCAGTCTGAGCCTAAACCACCCAGCCTGCAACTCTGTAAAGTGGCCCCGCCTATCACCCAGCCAGAGCAAGGAGAAAGTGGCTTCGTGTGTGCAACAAATGGATGAAAGAGACGCTAAAGAATTCAGCTCTCACAGCCTGAGATCTGTTAGAACTGCCCACAAAATATTTGTTTCTTCACCAAACATTTGAAGTTACCTGCCTTGGCTGGAAAGTCTCCAGCTTTTCCCTATTCACTCATTAAGATCTTGTACCATATTTAGTAAAAGAGCCTTAATTAAAGGCATGTTTAATGAATCTAATAAGATTATACCCCACTAATGACACAAGACTCCTGTTAGGCTGAGCCTGTATGTTTACATTTTGTCTAGCAAATGAAAATGACATTTTCTAGCAAATGGTTTTTGCAATTTCAGAATTAGTTTGTGGATCTGTGTAAGGGGCCTGAGTTTGATGTGGGCTGGTTATAAATTAGATTTGTTAAAAACTATTCCCTTTGGAAAAAAAGAAAAAAATAAGACCTATAATACCACTACCAAAGACATCTAACCAAATATTCTGTACTTACTATTTCATTCAATATAACTGTACTTTATGTGATATAATCACATCTGATTTCCTCACTTAATATATCTTATATATTTCAATTAATTACATGTATTTTATCATGTTTACTGGCATCCAGTATTTTGTAATATTTATGTATGTATTTTATTTGCTAAAGTGCCCACTAATAGATACTTAGACTCATTCCATAATATGAATTTCTGTCTTGTATACATTAATATTTGGGATTTTTTTTGCTGCTGTTATAGCTAATCTTGAATTCTCTGAAGAAGTAGTTCCTTTGGAGAGTCAAGTTTTCTTGCTTAAAAGCAAATTCTACAGAGTCCAGGGTATTAGATGTAATTTGCACTTTTCACTTTGTTCTGGAAAACCAAGAATAAATAAAAATCCAATTCTATAGCCAATGCCCTCCCTCTCCCCCAAAGGTAATCAACCTCATTCTCTGAAATTTCAAAGGGAAAAAACTAGAAACACCACTGAAACCATTTTTAATTAGACAGTTAGCAGTTCCTAAAGCAAGCTATAATTTGCCCTCCCAAAGTAGAGGTTTTTTAAGCGAGCAGTTTAATCGGCATATTCTTGTTAAGCATATTTTATCAGATGTTAAGGCTCCAGAATCTAGACAGCATATCAAAGTGTATCAGATTAGGAATGTGATTTCCTTTGACTTCTGACTGGCTAAAGTATGACACATGACAGAATGTGTCTGTACAGATGGATCTTTTGGAGAAAAATAGGAGTTTTTTTATTAGCCATGGTTTTATACCATGATTGGAGGATTAAAAGCTGTTACTGTTGTCGTGTACAAATCTCATAGAATCTGCTTCTTAAAGTGTGGTCCATCGACAGTGGCATCAGTTGATTAGGAGTTTGATAAGTAGAAGCAGTAGAGCTCTCAATCAGAATTCTTAACAGGATCCCTAGTTGATTTTTTTTAAAGTTTCAGATGTTTATTATGGACTACAGCAAATTAATCAGACCAACCAAATATCCATACAGCCTCCATCCACTTCTCTTCACTTACATCAGTAGCACTTATTTCAAAGGAAATGATTCTTGCAGTAGTGTTTATAAAGTGATTTATAACATGAAAATTCTGTGTCTTAATATTAGAATTCACACGTCCAATCAAATAGCCATAAAATGAATCTTATCTCACTCTGTTTTCACTGTAGGGGTTTAGAGAGAACCTTCATTCATTCCTTTCTTCATTTTAATGACTAGTTTTTTTTTTTAAGGCTTTGGAGCTCCTTCCCAACAAACTACAGATGCTCCTTGATTTATAAGGAGGTTACATACAGTGAAACCAATCCTAAGTTGAAAATATCATGAGTTGAAAATGCATTTTCTATACCTAACCTACTGAACATCATAGC